ATTCATGGTTCCTTTTTCTACATAATGCAACCGGTAGTGCTTATGATTAAAAAAAAAAATTATTATGTGATCGGTATCGGTGTTCGGCCGTGATCGGCCCTCTTGGGTGATCGGAATCGGCAGGAAAAAACCTGATCGGCACATCTCTACCTAAGAGTCGTGGTTTTGGGACTGTAGAAGGAAGCCGGAGAAAACACAGGGAGAACATGCAAACTCCATGCAAAAAGATCCCAGGTTGAGATTCGAACTGCAAGGCAACAATGCTGCCATTGTGCAACATTTTTATATAATATTATTGTTGATTATACTATTTTATGCATGTGTTGTGATTTTTTGTTGGAAGGCTTGACAATAATTGGGCTTATTTTCCATCATGATCCTTAAGCTCCTCCACTTAAGGCAGAGACTACACCGAACTCAGAGGGCAAAGTGCAGAAACTCCTCAGACTTAACCAGTAAATAAATACAATTGATAAAAATTAGTGGAACATTTTTAGACTTAATGGTGCAGATGAAGATTTTTGTTTCTGCCAAAGCAATTCAAGCTTATTTTTCTTTTATTATGATTCTAAATTAAAAATATCTCTAAAATGTTATTAATACACACAACACAATTTCTTTGATTGTGAGTTTGACATCATCGGGAAGCTTAGAATCCACACTTTCAGGCTCTGTTACAGGTAGACTGGGTAACTGTTTTGTTGTGACCGGTCGCATTTACAAAACAACACCACTCGTCTCATTAGAATGAACAGAGAAAATAATGTCTGTTATTGTTATAGCAATAAAACACTAACATTTTCATTTCAGATTGTGTTATTGTGGGTCATTCCAAGTTTGGTGGTCCGTGAGTGTTTGTTAAATGTGTAAAGTGATACTGAGCCTGAAAGTTTGCTCTAATTCGTCTAAATCTGTAAAAACGTGACATAAAGGAAGCTACTTAAAATGTATTCTGCTGAAATGAAACTCACTGTAGACGACTTTTCCAACCAGAACGACACAAAACATCCCCAAACACACCAACAACAGAAAAGGGCGCCGGACTGTTGCAGATTGAACTCCTTGATCTGAAAGAAAAAATGGAATCAATGTCATTATTGATCAATCAATCAAGTTTATTTGTACAGCACTTTTCTGCAACAAGGAAGTTCAAAGTGGTTTACATTGTGAAACCATCATAAACACATCATGCTGTCACCAATTGTGGATCCAGTAACAGATATTACATTTGATTAAAATGATTAAAATCATCAAAACACATCAAATATGTTGGTCAATGATCCAGTGATTACTGGTGGGGGTTTAGACTTGTCTTAAAGGGACTCAGTGTTTCTGCTGTTTTACAGTTTTCTGGAAGTTTGTTACAGATTTGTGGTGCATAGAAGCTGAAAACTGCTTCTCCATGTTTGGTTCTGGTTCTGGGGATGCAGAGCAGAACCAGAAGACCTGAGTGGTCTGGAAGGTTGATACAACGGGTTTTAATGTAGTGCGGTACAAAGCTGTTCAGATAGTCATAAACTAACAGCAGACTTCTGAAGTATGTTCTCTGAGCTACAGATGTGCTCTGTCTTCCTGGTTTTAAGTGAGAATGTCAGCATCAGATGCAGCTATTTAATTGTCTTTTTAGTCAGACATGTAAAGACACTGTTGCAGTAATCAAAACGACTAAAGATATGCATGGTTAGTTTCTCTAGATCTTGTTGGACAATTAGTCCTTTAATCCCGGAAATATTCTCCAGGTGATAGAAAGCTGACTTTGTGATTGCCTTTATGTGGCTATACAGGTTCAGCTCTCAGTCTGTCACTTATTGCTATAAAATTATATATTATGATGCAGATAATCACATATCTAAGTCTAAACTGTTACAGAGTAAACACAATAATCTTTATCTGTGGCATTGTTCATTAAAATGGCACATTTCTGATGTATTAAAATTAAATGCTATCGGTTCACTAAATGATATTAGCGATTAGGTATTATTCAGCAAGTATTTTTACTTTTAATACTTAATTATTTTTAAAAACCAGTACTTTTTTACTTTTACTTAAGTAAAATGTTAATGTGGTAGTTTTACTTTTACTTGATTACATTTTTGTCTGTGTATTTGTACTTTTACTTAAGTACATTTTTTGAGTACTTTCTCCACCACTGCTGAAACTAATCGGAGCAGTACATGGACTCTGATGGACTGTTATACCTAATAGTTTTAATTTTATTGAAGTCAAGCTAGTAAGTTAAAAAGATACACTTGATGTTTATTGGTTAAAGTAGAAAGTGAAAAATATAAGACTAAAAAAGAAAAATAAATGTTGGTCAGAATATTTGACTATGAAAATATATTTAACAAAATGTTGATAAATATGCTTATTTATTGGTGTGAAATTTTACTACTAAATGTTGACTGTTTATATTTTGGAGTATAACTGGTTTAAAGTAGGGGTCCCCCAAACTACGGCCCGCCTCCTCATTTGGTCTGGCCCCCTGAACAATACCAGAGAGCATTCAGTGTGTTTTTTTCATATATATGTGGATTTTTCTTCAACCACCAAGGGGGCACTTGAGCAGATATGAAACTTAGTTTCCCTCAATGGAATATATACTAGTCAGTACCAATCACCGTTTCACTCACGGTTTTTTTCCATTTGCATTCTGGGTAAAAATCCATCTACAAACGTGAATGTGTCGTCGGCAGTAATCCAGCCCCCCGCCCCCGGTCCGCAGTTTCACTCTCCCTCCACTACTACAACACACGCCCGTGTAAAACTCATTAATCTACTTAACCGCTAAGTCAGGATGCCATATAACTGTTAATAACAAAGTGTATGATGATCTACGTCATGATCCTATGTTGCTGATTAAATAAAATCATATGGTAATGACAACGTATACATGTCTGAGCTAAGCGTATGACTATCTGACAATGTATGCTGATCTGACAGAACACCGGCCCCCGACCAGAAAAAGGAACAGTCATGTGGCCCTCGCAGGAAAAAGTTTGGGGACCCCTGGTTTAAAGCATGGATATTTGTTTATTTCACAATGCATTTATCTTAATTTGAGAATGTAATAGGTGTGTTTCTGTTTCTTTTGAGGTTTTTCACCTATGTGGCTGAAAGGCTAAATCACTATGGTGACCATCATACAAAAATAAAGATGGACCAGTAAATTGAAGTGAAATCCAGTTAAACGTTTCATTGTAGAGACTATCCCTTTCAAGTAGGGAATCGCACAGTAAAGCAAACCTGACAAGACTTGACAATTGTACCACTAAAATCTAACTATTATCCGTTTTATGTTTTTATATAAAGAACTCCTAATTGTTGCTGAAATGTGCTATAAAAACCAAACTTGGCTTGCAGAGAGATTTCTCAGATGATGCAAAAAAGGCTCAAGGTTTACATGTGACATAAAAACAATTCTTGTTACAGCCCATGTTAAGAAACTAACTTCCTACAGAGGGAATAAAAATGTATAAAGTGCATCTGGATAGCATTGTTACTTTTTAATCCTCATAAAATTTAAAATACGTATAGAGTCACTTACATGTAAGGTGATGTTTGGTATTGTTGACATTGACTGCAGAAGAGCTGTCTTCATCCATGTTGTTCTCCATCCTTTACGGGAAAAATAAAGATTTAGATATTATAAAATGTCCAACAGCTGCTTGAGTGATCTCAGCTGTAGCTCATGGAAAGCAGGTGGGTTCTTCTTCCTCTTTTTAAAAGTGGTCAGGGTGCGATGCAGCATCTCCATCGCTGCTCTGTGGTTCATTTCCTTACTCCAACAGTTTTGGGAAACAAGTCTGCTTCTGTAACAAACCTTTCATGCCAAGAAGCTAGCTCTCACTCTGTCTCATAAACAGTTCTGCAACTTTCCTGTCCTTGGTTATAAAATATATCTATTCACTCCATAAGGGTTTGCACTCTGATGCATATAATATGTTTTACAATCTTTGCTCTTGTAGAAGATACTTTAACAAATGACCACAGTTACTCATTTGGTGATCAGACCAGATGTAAAACATGAACTTTGTCCTGCCACCATAGAAAGAGAAAACTATGGCCCTGTCTACATGACAACAAAATGGAAGAGTTTTGTTTTGTTTGTACTGTATATTTACACGAAAATACAGATTTTTTTTTTTTTTGACAATGGCAGTTTCAGGACGGGTTCCAGAGTGCAATGGTTCTAAAACATACCAGTGTGCGTTATCTTGTAAACAGAATAAGTTGATCTTTTCTGAAAGCAGCTCATGCATACTATGACGCAAAACATATTCTCTTCCTACAATCCACAGAAGAAGAAACTACTGATAATGTCAGATGCCAGAGTATTGTTTGTGCTTCTGACTCTTATGAGGCCTCATTGGGTGTATGGCACATTTTCCAAACTGTCGACACTGTGTTGAAACTGTGTCGCTGTGTCACTTGCAGTGACATCTTCTGGATTTAAAAAGTAATTGCAGGCAAATTAAATAAAGACTGGAAACAGTCTGAACAAGATTCGTTCACGTTTTTATTTAGAAACATCAGCTGCTGTAACAGCTTTGGGCTGAGGTGATTGCACCATTTACAAACCATTTCATTGTAATTACATAGAGTGATTTGCAAGAATATTAAAATACAAATAAACACAATTAGCAATCATGATAAACCTGAACTGGGTGCAGATGGTCGAGTTGAAGGTCCAGTTAAATCACCTGCTTTCTGTAAACACCAGAGTTTACCACAGGATTGTTAACCAGTTCATCCCCTCATACCGGTGTTACGATAAGGCTTCAGCATTGTGGAATTGCTCAGTTTACATTAAGACAAAACTTGGGAGCAAATCCTACATTTTTCACCTATAATATAAATATAATCCATGTAAACTAACTCAAATATACCATGGAAAGGAATTTGAATAATCCAAAAAAAAAAAAAAGATCAAAAGTGGAAATGAGAACAGAATAAAAATTTACCTTATTCTCCGTGATGAGATCAAAATGGTTAATTCATGCCTGTATTCAAATAGGAGTCAAAAACCGACGCAAAGCAAAGAACACAAAGTATCTCCATCCAACAAAACCCACAAATGTGTCAATTGTTTCTCACTCATACGTACATACAATTTGGCGTGTTCACATCCAAACAACACAGGAACTGCATTGGCCACATGGTTTTTCTTAAAGTGATGCGCGCACTGACATGGGGTTTCATCTTGTTTCACCGGCACATGTGCCGAGATTTCTGTCATCTGGCCCATCACTACAACTGGATGTGACCTGGGAGGACATCCCAGTGGTGGGATAACTTTGGAAACAATGTCGATGCAGAGTCATACTTTCGATTGTGTCTGTAAGCTTATCCAGTTTTTCTGAGTTTTGCCACTCGGACTCTCCCAGATGGTCTACCATTCTTCTTTTTATTTGGAGGTCTTTCTGTAATACAGCTTCTGAGCATAGTCTTTTCTTCAGTCTCTGTTGTCTGTGGGTTTGCAGCCTGGTCAGAAGAAAGAAGAAACAAATAACGAGAAAATCTGTTAGAATGGGAAAGCATAGGGAACAATCAGACACCACCACCCCCAGCAGCAACAATTCAGTGGTTTGTGGCACCTGATGAGAAAATGACTTATTTCCCTAAAGTTCATAAGTAGTAATATAGAATAATGTTTTGTTGTTCTTTTAGTGAAGTTAAAACAAATTCCACTGGTCAACTTGCATTCCGACAGGCATAACGGTGTTAATCATTACTATTTTCAGGTTTCTTACTTTAAATTATGACACCAGGATTAATCCGTTTGAAATGCTTTCCACATATAGTTTAACATGTATCCTGCACAATACCAAATTCAATACAGAAGAAAACCTACGAATGTAGCTGATTCATGAGAGCAATTCAACCTCAATTTACAACACTTTGAGCATCTTCAATCTGCTGTAGTTAAAAAACTACTATACATTTGCAAACTTGGACTGGACTATTCTATACAGCTTTTTGAGTTGCAACTTCAACCAGATGCAAACACCTAATGTCAGCCTTCATTGAAGCATCACTAATCAAATACAGGTTTCACAGATTGCAAACAAAAATTCTTGTTGCTCAGAAGTGTTGCATTGCGACTCCAAAATGTTACATTGCTGTCTGGACCAACATGGACTAACTGTAAGTTTTTATTTTATGTTTTTTTATTGTTATATTGTGTTTTGATGTACAGCACTTTGTATCAGCTGTGGTTGTTTTAAAGTGCTTTATAAATAAAGTTAGTATGGTATGGTATGGTATGGTAATATAATAAACACCAAGCAAATATTAATCTAGAATTTGTACTCACTTGAAGCATTTCCCTTCAGGACTTCGCAACTGTAGATTCCTCGTTTGATTCACACACTGAATGTGGTGTTGAACTGTCTGAAAGGATGGTGCCCGGGTCACAATCAGCTGTTCCAGCACCGAATTCAAGCCGGTTACCCACCCCATATTTCCACAGCATGCCTGTATTTTCCCCAGGTTGCTTTCAGTTTGGACAGTACCTGGGCTTGTTATGGCAGTTTATATCTTTATATACATCCACATACTTCGAAATGCATGATTCTCAATCAAGGTACTCTTGGCATTTGGTGGTTTTATAATTTAAAGTCACCCCAAGAAACAGCTAAACCTCGTCGTCTGCCCAAAGAAATTCTTTATTCTTACCATTTTTATGGTTATAATGGCTTTCAGGTAGAAGTGAATTGTTTTACACATATGCACGCAAGTTTCAAAGAACCTAGCACCAACTAGTGGTGTGTCGAGGGAATTACACCTTGTCGATGTGTACTGTTGCTGTGGAAACAAAGACTGTAATTAAAACGTATTCATGTAAAATAGAAATGGTAAAAATTTCCATTTTTGTTGGATGATTGTTGTGTAAACAGGGCCTCAGTGATCATTGGTATAAAAAATACAAATATGGCAGCGTGGGAAAATATGTAAAAAGACGCGACAAGGCCTAAACTTTTCCGTTTTAAATGATTGTCTCTTCCCACTCTGCATGGAGTCGGTACTGTTCACTGATGTTTCTAAAAGCATATATTTTCTCCTTTAAAAAGAAGAACTATGTTCTTATACATCTCTGAATAATAGAGGAATATTTTATGGTAGAACTTATTAGTTTAGATCAATAAAATACATTAACTATAAGACAAATTAGCAAATGTAAATATCTCTTCTCCAGTAATGTCATATTTTACATCGGAACAGGATTTGCCAGAAAGCCTAAACTCTCATCTTTTCAGGAAGTCTATTTTGTGTCTTGCTTTCAGCTAGCTCCCACCCATTTATATCAGCAATAAAAAATAATTACCGATATGAAAATCAATCATTTCTATGGCAACGGGTCTGCGTAGCGAAGCAAGCACAAGCAGCGAGAAAAATGAACGAGTGGTTTGGAGCTGTTCTTCAACGGTTTTGCTGTGGCGAACTGCACTAAATTAATGATACCTAGATCTTTAGGTTTAATGTCGTTAACGGAATTGTTTTGAAGCGGAAGCGGCAGGTATACAGTTGTCTTTTTGCTCTCTAGCGTTGTGCGCATGCCCGAAATTAAACAATAACATACAACTTGTTTACAGTAACGATAGTTAGCATTTTGGCTAGCGGCAGTAAACAATTATTTATAATGCACATGCATACCTCAAAATAGAATCGATGCCAATGAAACACTTATAAACATGATACCTATCTATTACTTGTGCAGTTAACCCACCTATGAAAACAGAAATTCGAGTCTCAATAATGGCTTTGCTGCGATGCTGACTTCTTCTTCTTCTTCTTCTTCTGTGGTGGTTATTGGCGGTTGGCCAAAAACGGAATTGGTGCATTACCGCCACCGACTAGTATGAAATGTGGAACGTCACGAAAGGATTATATATCTTATATAATTAATAACAATATGTCATATAATTATTATAATTATATATGTTTAATTTAACGAAATATTACCTGATGAATTTTCCTTTAGCGCACCTCTCTAGCTCTCAGTGAAGGTGGACACTTTTTTTTCTCTGCTCCCTTCTTGCCACAGTTGCACTCCGTCATGTCTCCGCCTTCCACTCATGTCTTTGTATTATCTGAATGTTGCTACATGTGCATACTTTCCTCATGTGTCTTTTCCTGTCTATTTCCAGTTTGTCTAATTTATTTTATTACTTTTAGAAATTGTGGAGTCACAGGGGCGGCTCTACTGGGGTGGCAGTTGTCACCCCAAATGAGAGCCTTGCCACCCCTGTTGCCACCCCAGCTGGCAACTATGAATTCAATAAATAGTTATGGGAAACTGGACATTAAGCGCATGGATCTGTGGTGGTGCACCAAAAAATGCCACTGTAGTGGCGATTGTTTGTCAAACCAAACATCCAACAAAGTTCCAATAAGCCACTGAGACACTGGGGTCAAGTATTT